AGGGGGTGGAGGCCTGGGGGGGTGGGTAGTCAACTGATCAAATAAAAGACCAGCCGTCTGGAAAGTTCTCTTAAAAGAACATAAAAAGGCAGTGTTTTCTTATGAGACTAACACAGAATGCCAAAATATCTAGCTGGGCTCTTTTTTTGTCATCACTTATGGCAATTTGTAACTAAAAATAGCAAATCCTTCAAAATATCAAGCTTTCATATTTTCAGTCGCCATACTAAAGTGTAAACATTTTGTACACCGTTTTCTTATGTAAGACTAGTACATGGTAAGTATACTTGTTACAGCCCTACTCAAATGGTTTTAAAAATGATCATTTAAAAGTGTTTAAAGTTATTTACGCACTTAAATTTTTGATAAAGGTGAAATGAATAGTTCACAGGAAACAGTCATAAATAAGGTTTATAAAATTTCATGATTAAATTTCCAAGTTCAAATGCATTCGGAAATCATGTAAATGTGCTTACCATTTCTTGAACTAATGCTTTTTCATGGTCAAGCTCGTATCTTAATTTGTCTCTACCATCAATTAACTGAAATAGAGAATATTACATTTTGTTTAAGGAATAGAGCATCTAAAATTCCTCCTCAGTAGAGTTTAATGAAAGACATTTTGATATGAGAAAATGAATTCAATATGATCAAAGGAAAAGAAATATATGTGGCTTATCATCTTATAATAATATATTATTATGGAGTTATTATATAAGCAAGCAAAATATACTCAAGAAATGCCAATTTATTTACAGTCTTTTTCACCCCATCCCCTAAAACATGACATCACACATAATAAAGGTTTTAGTCTGTCAAAAAGAATAATTTTGTTTCATACTTTACATGACCCATTTCTCCAATTTTAGCTTTTTTTTGCTATATATGTACATATATCAAGCCATATTAGCACTGATTCAAAAATAGTCATCAAAAGTCCCTTCTGTCCATATGACTTGCCTCCGTATTTTAAATGACTGTTTGGTATTTTCATATGTTATATACACCAGTAAGTTTCAAGCCTTGGTTTTGACATCTATTTAATTCAATTAATTCAAGTATTTGATAAACACCTCCAGTGTCACTGTCGTTTCAGGGATTTACAGTTTCCTTGACTTATCCATGTAATCTTTTTTCCTTTTTTAAAATAGGTTTTTGTCTTAGGGCATGTATGCTGGCCAGAGAGAGAGAGAGACAGAGACAGAGACAGTGAGAAGGGAAAGTGAGAAATCACCCTCCAGAGGGGATGGCCACACTGCAATCCCTTCTCCATTTTTCTCCCAGGATTCTGGGCATGCACATGCACCAGGTATTATTTTCAACCCACTGAGTGTGGGACTCAAACCACATTCAGCCATGTGGCAGTCCAGCAACACAACTGCTATACCATCTGCTGGCCCTCATCTAAATAAGCTTTTAACTGGATCTCTGGTTCCGGAATTTCCTCCTTTGTATTCATTTTCTTCTTAAAATACAAATTTGTTTCTACCACAATGTTCAAGACTTCTAATATACTCAGAAGGTGATTCAAACCTCTTGGCATGAAAAATAATCCTCTGTGAGCATGCCTTGTCCTTGTTCCCAATGTCCTTCAGGGATAGCACACCCCACACAAGGAGCTTTCTCTAGTACAGTGCTTAGCACTTAAAGGCACCTATAAATACTGGTGAATTAATTGACTTAGTGATGGATATTGAGAAACAACCAGCAAGTATCAACTGCCAATTGTTCAACAGCATCTGATCTCCTTTCCAGTAAACAGTGTACTTTCCCATATATTATCATTCTAGCCACACAGAAAGCCGGGAGCAGAAACAGGAAGAGGGGGCAAAGAGGCTGGCCCAAGGGGACACAGTGGCAGAAACAGAACAGAAACCGAGGGCTCTAGATTTCTTCTGCTCAACACCAAAATGTGACTTTATTCAATGTCTATGTGGTGTTCTAGTTAGTGCATAAAAATTTCACAAAAAAAAAAAGAAGAGAGGAGACAGGATTTTAAAAAAAATGATTAAGCAGAATAAGAGTCTCCTATATTTGTCTAGAATGTAATTGTTAAATAGAAAAATGAGTCATATATGTGATTTTGAGTTTTATGGTAGCCTTATTCAAAAGATAAGAGAAACAGAAGAAAATAATCTTAATAATATATTTTACTCACTCCAAAATACATATAGAACACTATTTCAATGGGTAGTCAATACTAAAAATTGTTAGTGAGATACATGACATTTTTTATACCAGGTCTTTGAAATCCTTGCTTTACTTATAGCACATCTCAACTGGGGAGCTAAATTTTCATTGGAAATACTTTATCTGTATTTAGACTTCATAAAATTTACAGAGGATAAAGTAGACTCAGATATCCAAATTACCAAAAATATACATAAAGGTTTTTCAACTTTTAAATGTAAAGTTTAAATTTAAAAATTATATAATTAAACATTCAATTCCTCAGTTGCACTGGCCGCATCTCACGAGTTCAATAGTGGGGAGCAGAAAGCTGGGGCAGCAGTAAAACGTGATGCTGCCCAAGAGCTGACCCACATAGGAAGGTTCTGGATTTGTGTCTGGAGCCCTCTCTGATACACCCCAGGCACATGCATGCTTAGGATCCATGGGCTTGCTGGAGCTGGGAATGGATCTTGACATCAAGATGCTGGGGTTGCTGTCTCTCTCTTTCTCATGGGAGGAAATAAAAATAAATTTAAAAATAAGTTCAATACAAGCCACCCTGTGGTCTAGTGGCTAATGGAGTCAGATACCACAAGACCAGCTGCAGTTTAAATCCTGACCACGGCAGCTTTAAAAACACACCGAGTACATGTGAGTGCATACATGAAATCCTGACAGGATAGAGAAATAGAAGAGACAGGATTACAACATGACCTCACACTATTGTGTGTAGGGATGCTTTCACCTTCTCCCTCTTCCTCTCTCTCTCTGTTTCTCTCTGATAAGCTCATGTGCCCTCTGCCAATCATAAATAAAGTGCCTTTAAAAAAGAAGCATCGGGACTAGCAGATGGCGTAATGGCTACGTCACTGGACTCCCATGTAGTTGACCGCGGTTCGAGTCCTAGACCCAGTGGCTTAAACTCACGCCGGGCACATGTGCATGCGTGCCCAAGATCCCGAGAGGAGAATGGAGGAGAAGGGATTGCGGCATGGCCATCCCCCCTGGGAGGTGATTTCTCACTTTCTGTCTCTCTGTCTCTCTCTGTCTTTTTGGTGAGCGTATAAAAAAAAAAAAAAAAAAAAGAAAGAAAGAAAGAAAGAAAGAAAGAAAGAAAGAAAGAAAGAAAGAAAGAAAGAAAGAAAGAAATGTTTGAGCAGTGGCTACCACTGGACAGTGCAGATGTAGAAAATTCAGGCAGCACTTAAATTGTTATAGTTAAGCTCACAGAATGTACACCACCATTCATGGGGCATGTTTCTTTCTGATTGGTGGCTTCACAGTGAGAGTTTTTGCTTTAATTTCTTATTGTATTCCTCATAGGATACCCAAAAGAGACTTGTGCAACTCACTTCTACCAGTGGTAGTGTAGACTGAATAGCTTTGGAAATGTTTGAAATGAAGAAACTATTGATAGTTCCCTGGGATATTATTAAGTGACACTAGACAGCTGAGATTTCATTTTTAACCTTAGAGGTTTATGCCAAGAAGATGAAACTTATCACACACGATTATCTTTGTAAGAAAGATTTACATGCTGCCATTCTAACTAGGATGCAGCACAAGAAAAGGAAATCATTTTTGTGAAAACCTGTGATGGATTAAGTTACCAGAGAAAACATCCATTGGGAAAAAATTATTTTTTTAAAAAATAGTTCGCAGATTTTGCTAACCTGAGGTTAAGGTGCTGGACTCGCACATGGTTGACCACAGTTTGCATCCTGGACCTGGAGGCTTGAAACCCACACTGGGTACCTGTGAGTGCATGCTCAAAATCCCAAGAGGAAAATGGAGGAGAAGACACTGTGGTGTGGCCATCCCCCCTGGGGAGGGGGCGATTTCTCACTTTCTCTCTCTCTGTCTCTCTGTGTCTCCAATGAGTGTACACACTCTATGGCAAAAGTCTCTTTAAAAACAAACAAAAAAAGTAGTTCTTGGAAGTAATTTTATCTCAAACCTAAAAATATCCTCAACTGCAAAATCAGACCTGTTTGAAATCTAAACCTAAACTTGGGCACACATGGCCACTGTTCTACTGAAATATGGCTTTGGTGACTGAGGAACTGAATGGTTAATTTTGTCGAATTTTAACTTAAAAATTGATAGTTCAGTTACTGGAAAAAGTTTACATTTGGAATAAGTTGGGGATGTGAATCTTTTTCATAGGTAAATTTTATGAATTCTAAATACAGTCTTATCCCATTAATCATTCAATGAGTATTTTTCAGAGTGCCAGGTGCTACGCTCAGCCCCAGGAATACACCAGATATTGACAGTAGAGTCTCCCATAACGTACGGTACAGTGGGGCGGCTGTAACAGTGAAGTACTTGAGGTACAGTGGGGCGGCTGTAACAGTGAAGTACTTGAGCACTCCAACAGGGGGCGGGGTATACAGCTAGAGGGCACAAAGCAGGAGTGTCCTACTGGTATGGGAAGGGCAAGAACTACTACAGTCCTGCTGCAGTAGACACACTAGGAAATCTCGATTTTTTGTTTGTTTGTTTGTTTATGATGTCAAAAAAAAACCCCACTCTAAATAATAAAGATTTGCCTAATAATATAAGGCCAGTTCACTCATATACAGAAAAGTAACTATCAACCAATATCTGATTTAAAAATAAGACTGCTCACTCTTGGCCCAGCTTGGTGACATTGTCAGTAGTGTACTGAACTATAGTTCTGGAAGCCACACGGCTGATCACTGGTTCGGATTCCCTGGTAGGCATGAAACAACATACCGGCCACGTGCCCAGGGTTTAATGAGCTGGAGGACTGAGAAAAGGAGACCACGGCAGGACGAGAGCCTGAGAAGGGTCTTTCTCGCTCTCTCATGCACACACTTGTTCTCTATCATCATGAACAAAACAAATAAAACTTTGAAAAAAAAAGACTTCACTCTTTTTTTTTGGTAGTTAATTGTCAGAGGGCATGTGCATTTGCTAGAGAGAAAGGCAGAGAAAGAGAGCATGGGGATGGTCATGTCACAAGCCCTTCTCCATTTCTCCATCCTGTCGGGATTTGGGGCACATATGTACACATGCCCAACATGTTTTACTTGAACCATGGTCAGCCATGTGGGATCTAGCTTCTCTTAACCACTAGGATATGGGGCTGGCCCTATTCACTCTTAAAAATAGAACTTTTCCACACCCACAGGCACATTTTTGGACTTCCCAGTGTTATTTATGCCTTTTGGTTCCCTTACAAGGGGCATTATCTGTTATCCCAGATAAAAGAAGTCTCTATACATCAGTGAGTTTTCAAGATGGGCTTCTTATTCATTGCTAGTCACTGTCTCCGAATAATATGGAGACTAGATATATAAAAAAAATTAACTTTTGGGACCAGCAGATGGTGTCATGGTTACATTGCTGGACTCCCACACAGTCAACTGTGGTTTGAGTCCTGGACCCAGCAGCTTAAAACTCATGCCAGGTGCATGTGTGCGCATGCCCAAAATCTCAAGAGACTGGAAGAGAAGGGACTGCAGCATGGCCATCTCCCCTGGGGTGTATGTGTGTGTGTGTGTATGTGTGTGTGTGTGTATGTGTGAGAGATTTCTCACTTTCTGTCTCTCTGTCTCTCCAGCAAGTGCATGTGCCCTATAACAAAAAAACTCTTAAAAAATCAACTTTTCTCTACATCATAAGACATGCTAGATAATATAATTCACCAATTGTGTTGATATTTTGATTTAAGAGTCATTTATCAATGTAAAAATGTTACAGTACCTTATGAATAGTTCTCTGATCCTTGTCTGCCATCTCTTTCAGAGATACAATTTCATCTTCTGTAAACAAAAGGAGAGAGGGGCCAACCATGAAATTACATGTGTATGCCCCTATATTCAAATGGCCTGCTTCAGGGCATTCTGTGAGCCACTGGCAGGCATGGTGGACGCCAGCCCTGGCAGGACTGTGACCTTCACAACTGCCCTTGACACTCACAGCCTTCCTCCTGCTGTTCAGACGGCTGGTCAGACAGGGATTAAAAAGTGAGTTCAAGATCCAAGAGCGGCTGAGAGCGGAAAGTTTTTCGTCATTTCTAGCAATGGACACTTTTCCTGTTGGTCACAGCCAATACAAAGTGCTTTAGCAGATGTCGCATTATGACTCAGTCAGCACTACCAAAACCTGAGATAGCGTCCGTATTCCACCTCAGATGAGACACAGAACCTCACTGGCGTGGTGTAACTTCATATTCAAGGGATATTATATCTTGTCAATGTTTTGCTATAAATCTTGTATGGTTTGCTCACTGCTTTTCATATTATAAATTAAGGGCAACCTTATATAATTAGCAAAAATACAAAGATAGCAGTTAAATGAAAAAATATTTTAAAACAATCTAACTTTGATGACTTAAATAAACTTTTACCAGTTTATGGTATGAAAAAAAGTGGGTATAAGGTATACAAATGAAAATTTCCTTTGATGTTTGTATCAAAAACTAAAGGTCGTTAAGTAGTAAGTAGTTGCTTTTTTTTCCTGAAGGATTACCTCTGTTTCTCTACAAAGCACATCTCAATACCTGTGCTTTAGTACCTAAATGTTACAAGAGTAGATCTAATCGGTTAAGCATATAAAACAAACCAGCAAAGTTTTATCTGTTTATAATATTTCTAAGTGAAGTAGAACGCTGCTTACTTAGCACATTTTTGCAAAGACCAATGTTTGCCATGTAAGAAACACCCTGAGTTAACGAGACATGGCTCAGAAGAACAACTACAGATATATCCTCTATCCCAAGCAAGGAATGCTATCATAAATGAAAAGCAAAGGTGACTATCAAGTTGATCTTTCAAGTGATCAAACAAATATATGTTTGGAAAAAGACAAAGTTAAGAATTTTATAAAGTGCCCAGTATATAGATTATTCTCAAAAATGATTTGAAAATGTTACCTAATACTGAATTTTCTTTTAGATTGAGCTCAATTTCCTCTTCGAGTTCTGCAATGATTTGAAGCAGTCTCTCATTTTCTGCCTTGTACTCCAAGTTTTCCTTTTCTAAAATTGCTTTTGGAGAGGTGGTCTCTCTGGCAAACGAATCCTGAAAGATGGGGAAAATTCCATATTTCTATGTGGAGAGCCAAGGACTTAAATATGCAACATGAGAACAATACAGATACAGAAAAGCTATCATATAATTTTCTGAATTCTATTACACACTTATAATAGGAATAGTAAAAAGGAAGGAGATTAAATAGAGTTAGCTGGAAGAAAGGCTCCAGTACATTCTGTACAAAGACCACAGCACATGGGGACATTTTATTGACAGGAATAATGCATATCATACTGTTTGTGTGCCCTCATCATTCAGGTCAATTCATTATGGAGGCTGTGTCCAGGGAGGCAGCTGGGGCCCCTCCACCCACTCTTCCCTCTGTCTGAAGCGCTGTCCGCCTGTAACTAGGCTGGCTGGGGAGATGGTGGACGGGCAGCGCCAGGGGGTAGCAAAGTGCACGGCTGAGGAGGGGGGCTTGTTGTCTTTGTGGCATTTCCCAGTGTCAGTGCTGCCGTGTCATGAGGAGCACATCACATGTCAAAGTGGTGACGTTTTCAGGCTGGGAGCCGCATGGAGTCCATCAGGCCCACAGATATCCACACAGTTGGTTTTCTGCTTGGTGGAGGAGCCACCCAGAGGCAATTCATATTCTGAACATTAACATGGCTTTGCATGCCTGTCACACGGGGACTGTGCAGGCGTTTCATGCTATTGAAGACTTCGGCTTAAATCTCTATGCAAACAGTGATTACCTTGTAAGAAGGTTTCAGGATAACTTACAACAAAAGACTTTAAAGTTATAGTTTTAGTAAGGCAAACTCATTTACATTTTTATTATGTGCGTCTTTTGTTTAAATCTTGCCATGTCCATTATGGGAGAGGCTTTTTCTTACGCAATAGACGCTTATTGGAACAGCTACTCTTTTTTTTTTCTTCTTCTTCTTGTCTGTTTCAAAGCTTTTGAAAACATCTGAATATACTCTCTGTGGTTGTCTAGATTTTACTGCCACACATTTGAAAAAAAAAATGAAGATGTAATGGATTGGGGAAGCTGGTGCAGAACTTTATGCTTCATTATGGCAAATATTAAACTGATTATGCAACTTCAAAATATTAAAGAGTCATTATATTATGCTCAAAGAGAGAAAAGATTCTACATGCCTTGCTTCAAAATTACCGTAGCCACTGAAAATACTTTTGAACTTTAATCTTCAAGTGAACTATACCCTTTTTTTTGTGTGTGTGAAGTAACATCGTGATTGCAATTAATAATAAAATCTACCCTCAAGAACAAAATCATTTCTCTCAATATATACACTATATAGTTTCTTTTTGGAAGTGTACTTTTCTTTAACTTTAGGGATATCTGGAAGCAAATGATTAAAATGTTTTCCCCTGTGATCATAATGGTTTAAACAACAAAATAAATGGTTGAAATGTTTTATAGTACATTAATAAACTCCCCAAAAACAAGTGACTTGCTAATGTAATTACATCTATATCTAGCTAAATGTATACACACACATACAGACACACGTAGGAGTTAACAGATTTAAATTTTGTCAAGTTTTATATTAAGCTTAATTACAAATTTTTATAATTTTGATTCCTCATTCCATTTAAATTATTTGAACCAATTTCATTCTTAACTAATTAGAACTAAAAAAACTAGTAAAGAGTCAATAACCAACAGTTTTCTTAATTTCTTAATTGTTTTCTTAAGGAAGAATCCTAGTCATTAATTTCTTGCCTCACATTCTTCAGTTTGAGACTATCACAGAATGCATTTATAAACTAAAATAGTTGTTTTTTTGTCCAAACAACATTGGCCTTAATCGGCTTAGGCATACATTTCCTGCCAGTGGCAAAATATGGAGTATCTGTGGATTATAAGAGCACCCATTGGCATAAATAGATGGTTTGATTAATCAGATGAAGTATAATATTTACAAATGGTAGAAGCCAATACCCGAATACATTTTCTAAGAAACTCTGTATGAAAATAAGACACAAGGAAAACACACTAAATTCCAGGGGCTTTCCTCCACATTTATCCATCTACACAAGATGCTTATGAGGTTAACCTTTAGCTCTGTCCCCACCATCTGTCAGCTGTGGGAACTGCAAGTAATTAGCTATTCAGACGCCCACAGCAATGAGGACACTCATTAGCAAAATGAACAAAGGGATAGTTCTGGGCTGCTACAGTCCTCTGTCACACTCTGAGTGGCAGGTTTTGTGGTGGTGTTCCTTCTGCCATCTGCCCACATCGCTAGTTTTGGCTTGCTTAACCCGTGAAACTTCTTTAAAAATAATCTGCAATAACAAAACAAGGTTAAGGTGGAAGGAGATCATTACAGGGTGGTTAACGGGAGGTAGCTACTTAACGCCACATTGTACTCTAAGAAGCACTGTGGGTGATCCGTGATCATTCTGAGATTTCAGATTTGTGAAAGGACTTTTCAACTTAAGATTCTTTTATCATATGTGAAAAGCAGGAGTTTAGGTGTTGGCATAGATGCTATTTTTCTTGTCAATATTCACAAGATCTACAGGATTACTATTTTCAGGCTTCAGAATCCCAGAGCAGATCTCAAAAGGATTGTCTCTGAACATGGATATTCTTAAGAGTCTTGCTACTCGAAGTGTGCTCCAAGAACCAGGAGCCTCAGCACCACCTGAGAACTGATCAGAAATGCAGACTCGGGTACCAGCCCAGAACTACTGTATCAGTCTGTAAAGGGGCAGTCTGAGCAGCTATGGTTTAGAGCACTGGAACGTGCCTTCTCAGCAGTTTTCCTCCCACGATATTGGTGTCTCAATCCTGCGGACCTCTGTACAGTACTCGGACATCTCAATTTGATGCCGAGGTTCTGCTGCATGCCCATCCCTCATGACAGTCACGGAGAAGAGCAGGTGCGTTCCCAATGAGTGACAGCCAGGAAAGTGGCACACTAGGGTAGCGCAGCCCTACAGAGCTTCCACTCTTGAATGACAGCTCTGCTTCAGGGCTGTCAGCAACAAACAGATACATTCACCAGTGGAGGGTGGATGGGTAATGGCTGTACTGCTCATCTATGTTGGAGGAAGAAAGAAAAAGTGAAAAGTCTATTTAAAATGACAGCTTCAATTGAAATGAAAAACACATGCACACACACACACACACGCACACACACACACACACACTGACAGGCTAACCTCCTTTATAAAGTCTTAAAAAGAAGCAGTCAACAAATAGCATGGTAAACTGAAAACTGCAATTGTATGCTGCTAGGTTGCTTGAACATCTCATTCCTTAAGTGAAATTGCTCTGGGGAAAATTCAATGTTAAGGATGTTCTCGCCAGAAGACAAGACTTACTGTACATCGAAGAGCTTCCTTTACTGATTTCCATTTTGTCATAAATACAATAGAAACTAGCTGTAGAACTTTCCCTTTCCTATTACATTCTTACCAGATCTTCTCTTAGAAACTGTCTAGGAGAGAGATTATGACTACTTATTAATGATAAGCCCATTTAGGTACAGTAACCTATCAGTAAGAATAAAATATATTTAACTAAATTAAGTAAACTGTGTTTGTTTCAAGTTTTTTTCAAGGCATTTCCATTGATATTTTGAAATTTTTAATTGCTTCTCCAAATTCTGTGTTCCAAATGGAATTCCAAATACTTGCTGCAGTAAGGAATTTTTCTGTGCATGCCACTAGAGGGGGCAGTTGTATAAGATGAAATCTAAAAAAAAAAAAAAAGGAAGAAAAAGAAAGAAAGAAAGAAAGAAAGAAAGAAAGAAAGAAAGAAAGAAAGAAAGAAAGAAAGAGAGAGAGAAAGGGAGAAAGAAAGAAAGAAAGAAAAGAAAAGAAAGAGAAGAAAAGAATGAAAAAGAAAAAAAAAAAAAGAAGAAAACCCCAGAAGGTCCTTTAGAACTGAAGTGGCATGAACTTTTAGGAATTTGTTCTCATAGGGTTAAAATGGGCATTTTCCACGGGTGTCTGTGCTATAACCTACAATGCACCTTATAACCTACAACATACATGTGTCTGTGTTTCCGCAATGCACTCTAGAACGCTTGGCATTGCCCTCCACCAGAAGGCCAGGACTGTCTGTTTTGTTGGGGTCCCTAGGAGAAACCTACATACCCTGTTAATGAGAATTAGCTCACCTTCATCAAATGTTAGGATGCTTACAGAAATTATGATGTGGTTTTCTTGTGGACAAATTATTGTAATCTGGGTGTCCTGGCTGCCATCCTGAACCAAAGAACAGCCTGCTTATACCCAAATGGGCAGCCTTCCACTTCCTGCCCTCTTCACCAAGTCGCTGTTCCTCTTCATGCTTTCTCCTGAATGTCCAGGCAGACCAGGTCGAAGAGAACACTTAGAGGTGGGAACATTTCCAGAGTGTAAGGAGCTCTCTCCTGGAATCAGAATGCTCTCAACAGTGCAGAGGTCTGTTCAGTACATGTTATGGAACATAAGCCAGATGGTCAGAAGGACCTATGTAGTTCCTCAAAACAACCTACACTTATACACTGATTTTTCATCAAAGAGCTCAAAGCAAGTCACAGCAGGGATCCTTAACACTAACTGTATACCTTAGCTAGGCAAGAACCACTTCGAATTTCACAGATGGGAAATAAATGGATCAACTCTGCCTTACTGCCTCGATGCTGGGTATCTTTGGCAGGACAAAAAGTTGCTACTACAGTTTTTAGTCTTTTCTAATAAATTATTGCTCTAAAAAATAAGAGTAGTTGTAGATCAGGAAAAGGTTAGAGGAAAGTGAATGCAGAAACTGGATGTCCTTCTACCCCAAGACAATCAGAACATATAAAAAGCATTAATATTCAATTTTTATTAGATCCATGCTAATAACACTTAGTACTACATTATTTATAAGATGGTTAGGGGTTTTGTTTTGTTTTTAGAACATAAAGAATTCTAATAGATTGGGACCAGCAGTTAGCGTAATGGCTATGTCGCTGGACTCCCACGTAGTCGACCGCGGTTCGCGTCCCAGACCCGGTGGCTTAAAACTCACGCCGGGTGCGTGTGCATGCGTGCCCAAGATCCCGAGAGGAGAATGGAGGAGAAGGAATTGCGGCATGGCCATCCCCCCTGGGGGGTGATTTCTCACTTTCTGTCTCTCTATCTCTCTGTCTGTCTGGTGAGCGCAAGCGCCCTATAGCGAAAACCTCTCAAAAAAAAAAAAAAAAGAATTCTAATAGATTATCAAAGCAAATAGTCTTTCACCAGTTAGTAAAACAAAGTCCTTTAGAATGATCTATGTTGATTGCTTATCTCGTATAACCTTGGAGTTTTAAATAAGAATACTAGTGTGGGATTTAGATAAGTCATAAATTACACTTAAAGAGACTTGCAATCTGTAAGTATTAACATTTTGCTGTGTAGCTTCCCAGACTTCTCCTGTGCCTGTATCTCCACATGTCAATATTTCCATGAGTTAATCTGCCTAACAATCTAAACCAAAAAAAAATGATTTCAACTAGATATGCTCCTCGGTTGACTTAAGATCAGCAACTGCCCTTAACTCAAAACAGTTTTTATTTTCTAGAAAATACTTTTTAAAAGAAAAAAAAATCAAGATGAGGAGTGCATTTTTTCCTCAAAACTTTTTAAAGTATTGAATTTCCTATCAGGAAAATTAGTTTTTAGCCTTGTGTCTTCCCTTTTGCCCCATGTCTCTCCTTCTTCTTTGTTTTAGGGGGGAAGGGGGGAGCCAGAGGGCAGAAAGTTGGTTGCTTTTTTCTCATTCCAGCATAATCTATTTTCCCTTTTTTCGTTTCTTAGTTACTTTTTCTTTATTCCAGTTTAAAAATATTCCTCAAGAAGAAAATTTGTTGGCTTGACATTTTTACAAACATTTCTCTGAGTGAGGTTTAAACGTCCTTATTGTAGCTACTGTTTTTAATTTAAATGTTAAACTTGAAAAGAAGTTTTTAATCGTGGTGCCAAAGTTCATAAATACCATGTGTTAGAAAATTATGAAAAATAAAATAATTTAAAATTAAAAAATCCACATGTATATATACACACGTGTATTTATATATTCATAAACTATAATATATTGTTATGTTATAATGAATAAATAATTCATAAAATATAATAATATATTGTTATATTATAACTTAACCTCTACACTAAAATAAAATAAATATGTATGTTTATAAATATACACACACACACACACACACACACACATACCTATGGTTTACTGGTACGGATATGCTTTGAGAAATGTGTCATTAGGTAATTTTGCTGTTGTACAAGCATTGTAGGGTGTACTTACACAAACCTAGATGGTACAGCCTACTCCATACCTCGGCTGTGTGGCCATAGCCTACATGCGACTGTGATATGTGCAGTTCGTCATTGATTGAAATGTCACATAGTGCATGACTGCATATTATTTATAATCTTTCATTCTTGCTGTAAGAGCATAAAGCTCAACCTCCTTATGTGAGCTTTAGATTTGGGTGGACCAGGTTCATGTCCCATCTTTGCCGGTTACTTGTGTGGGGAAGTTCCTTAACCACCCTGTCACTGCTTCTTCACCTGCAAACTGACTGTGGGGATGAGAAAAGATACTATGGAAGCACCTGGAACCTGTTAGCTGGTATTCAATAGACTTCGTCCTGCTGGGTCCCTCTCTGCTAAGCAAAAAATCAGCTTCTTCTCTTTAGGACTTAATAATAAAGCTCTCTCTGGCTGTGGATTATGGTTGGAGTTGAGATAGCTGGTAGCTCGGAACTGACATGTGATAAAAATGAACTTGCTCTCAGGGTCCACACTTTCCAAAGCCCTTAGAATTCTCATTGACACACATATAGGCTCTCCTTTCTACTTTCTATAGGGCACATGCGCTCGCCAGAAAGATAGAGACAGAGAGACAGAAAGCGAGAAATCACCCCCAGGGGGTATGGCCATGCCACAATCCCTTCTCCTCCATTATCTTCTTGGGATCTTGCGCTCGCCAGAAAGATAGAGAGAGACAGAGAGACAGAAAGCGAGAAATCACCCCCAGGGGGTATGGCCATGCCACAATCCCTTCTCCTCCATTATCTTCTTGGGATCTTGGGCACGCACGCATATGCACCCGGGGTGAGTTTAAGCCACCAGGTCTAGGACTCAAACCACAGTCAGCTACATGGGAGTTCAGCGACATGGCCATTATACTAACTGCTGGTCCCTCTACTTTCTCACACTTGACATTTTTGTTCCATTTTAGGTGCGTGTGTGTAGGGTGGACTATGAGACTTTTCTTTTTGACATTTTTAATTCATTTTATTCCAAGTTGGCTTTGGAAGACTAGTTTTGTGTCTTTCAAATTACTTTGACTGCAGAAAAGGTGAGAATCATTACAACAAAAATGAGAGAGAATTACAACACAAATTCATTCACATGCTCTTCTAGAGTGGGAATTTTCTTGCCATGGGAGGTAGGTTATTTTATTTCCATTATGAATAAAATTTGAGAATAATTATATTGGTCCTGTTTATAACTAACAAGTTTTCTTGAATATGCTACTGATTAGAAAAATGTTGGACTGGTGGATAAGCTTTATATTAGAAGAGGTGCCCCAAAATACATCCATTTGATTTCATTTATTATTAATCCAAGCTGTTAGCTATTTATCACTTTATTTACATATATTAAAATTAATTGTCTTTTGTCTTGCAACTTACCAGTTTTTGAAATCCAGATTCTTTATATTGGTCTAGCTCATCTCTTAATTCCTTAATCATTTCCTCTCTTTCTTTCAGTTTTCTTAACAAAACACCCATTTTGACACTAGTTGCATCTTGCAAATAAGTCTTTTCTTCTTCCACCTCAAAGAATTGCTGGGGAAAG